TACCTTGAACTAGCTGATCATATTTCTCTTTCTTCTGTTTACATTTCCACGCATTATAACTAATAAATCGTCCTCTTATATACGCCTTGAAAGCGTCCCAAATTATTTCTAACGAAGTTTCAGTGGATAAGTTCAGCTGGAAGAATTCTATAATTTCTTTTTTGCATTTTTTTACAAAGGCCGGCTCCCTCAGCAGATTTATATTTATAGAGGCTCTATTCTTTCTTTGTTCTTCTTTTCTTGATACCGAGACCGGATTGTGGTCCGCAAATGTCCTAGGTAATATTTCACATTCCGTCACTTCTCTGATCATGGTCGTTGACATCCATATCATATCTATTCTGGACCAAGAGTCGTGACGTGATGAATAGAATGTGAATTCACAATCTAATTCCCTTTTGAAGCCGTCCATGCTTGTAGCCGCCACCACTTCCTGTGGCAGTGAATTCCATGTGTTAATCACTCTTTGGGTGAAGAAGTACTTCCAAATGAGGTCGCACCATTGATTTATATAGGGGCATTATGATATTGGCTGATCTGTTTTCAATACCCTTCCTAATAATCCCCAGCATAGCATTGGCCTTTTTTATTGCAGTCACACGCTGTCTCAACATTTTCAGTGAGTTATCTACTACAACTCCAAGATCTCTCTCTTGCTCAGTCTCTGCCAGTTCAGACCCCATCAACGTGTATTTATATTTAGGATTTTTGGCTCCAATGTGCATCACCTTGCACTTGGCCACATTGAATCCCATTTGCCATGTTGACGCCCACTTGCCCATCCTTGACAGATCTCTTTGGAGTGCCTCATAATCCTCACTGGTTTTCACCACCCTGAACAACTTCGTATCATCCGCAAATTTAGCCACTTCACTGCTTACTCCCAACTCCAAATCATTAATGAACAAGTTAAAAAGCAGTGGACCAAGTACTGATCCCTGCGGTACCCCACAAGGCATGGATTTCGGTTTTATCTGCTACTGCGATTTATTGTCCTACTGTTTTGTTTGTTGGTTTTATGTCGTAAGCGGCCCTGAGCCCATATTCGGGGTCAGGGCGGGGTATAAATTTAATAAATAAAGTAAAAGGTTGCAGGACCCCCCCTCCACACCCAAAAATAGCCATTGCAAATCAAGCACTCTTCTTAAAGATCGCTTAATTAATTTATTTATTTTAAAAAACCCTTTATATATATTTATACATATATATTTTTTTACACCAATGAAAAAAAGACAAGGTAAACACAAAACAAAGTGACTGGTCCGTCATGGGGGGAGAAAAGGAAGGAAGGGAGGCTGAGGGGTTCATCCTGGCGCAAGGTGAAGTAAACTAGTGTTAGGTGTGCAAAAAAACACGCTCACTTGTGAGCAGCGAGAAGTTACTGTGCAAAATGTGCCGGGTGGGGTGGGGTGGGGTGACGGAAAGAAGAGTCCGCGGAAGGAGCAAAAAGGGAATCAAAAGTCCAGATAAAAGTCAAAGGGTCTTCTGGGCTTCTTGTCCACAGAGATGCACCCCCGCCCAGTGGCTCCCCCCTTCCGAGGAAATGGCACCTCAGTTGACCATGCTGGCATCGTCCTCTTCGTCCTGGGCCTCCAGCTCTCTGGGCCTCGACCCTACCAGCCCCGTGACGGAAACATCATCTGCAGGGAAAAGGGAAATCAAAGGAGCCGTTGTCAAAAGTACCCTGGTCAGTTCCAGCAGAGATTTTTTTGTACCTGTGAAAATTCTGAATCACTTTTTTGGTTAGCAACCATTCGCCTTCAAACTCCTCTGCTGCTTCTTATGGGTGCTCGCTTCTAATAGGAAGCTTCGAAAATAATCATGGATGCCAACCTCCAGGTGGGGCCTGAAGATCTCCTGGAATCAGGGGTCATTTCGTAGGAAAAGAGGTGCAGGAGCTCATTAGCATAACTCATTAGCATAACTCAAGTGTGTCAGAAAGCAACACCCACCGCTCAGGCTCCACTGGATTGTTTTGGATTGCTAGCTATTGAGGGGGGGGGGAAATGTGCAGATCTGTCCTCACAGAGGAGGGAGAGCTTGTGCCTGAATAAAACTTGGTCTTAAAGGTGCCACTGGACTGTTTTGGACTGGGGGCCCGTGGGGGGGTTCTGCAGCTTACCTGGCTGCTTCTTGCTCTGACTGAGGGCTGCTGGGGTCAGGGGGTGGGGCTTGTTGCCTGTGCCTGCCCCCTGGGCTCTTTACTGCCGGAGCTCCGCTCCTGTGCGCTCCCGCAGGAAATGACCCCTGCCTGGAATTATAACTGACCTCCAGACTACAGAGATCAGTTCCCCTGGAGACAATGCCTGCTTTGAAGGGCAATTTTTTTGGCATTACACCCCCATGAGGTCCCTCCCCTTCCCAAACCCCACCCTCCTCAGGCTCCATCCCCAAAACTCCAGGAATTTCCCACCCTGGAGCTGGCAACCCTATGCCTCACTATGTCACCCACTATAGCTTGATGGGGGGGGGGGAGAATGGGTGGGCTGAAACAGCACCATGCAACCCCACAATGTCACTGCATCATAGGACGCTCTGGGATTCATACAATACTCTATGGTAAAAGCCACAGAGTTCCGGTGAATCCTAGAGCACCCTGCAGAACAGTGACGTCATTTCTGCTAGACCCCGCTTCCCCTTTTATAGGCCGGAACCAAATTTCGGTCATAAGTATGAAAGTGGAGAATTGGGAGCGGAGGCTATCTGTTCCCCCAGACCTCTCCCACTCTCTCCCCTGTCCCGGGTCTATCCCTCCACCTCTCCACCCTACTTACGGAATCGGATACGTATGGGCCATATCATGAGGCAGGCGAGGAACAGGCTGGCCACCACAGCGATGCCACCAGTGACGGATACCATTACCCAATGGTAGAAGGCCACGCAGGCTGGACAGCACAGTAGAGTCCTGCAGGGAGAAGAGACGCAAAGAATGAGGAAAGAGCAGAGCAGAGCGGGATCCTGTTTGCTTCTCCAGCCAAAGATACATGCACTCATCCCTTGCAAGTGCCTAAAGGACTGGAGGATGCATGGAATTAATTAATTTGTACCCACGTTGCTCCCCAGTGGGGAACCAAACTGGCTTAAGAACATAAGAGAAGCCAATGTTGGATCAGGCCAATGGCCCATCCAGTCCAACACTCTGTCACACAGTGGCCAAAAATACCAGGTGCCATCAGGAGGTCCAGCAGTGGGACCAGGACACTAGAGGCCCTCCCACTGTTGCCCCCCCCAAGCACCAAGAATACAGAGCATCACTTGCCCCAGACCGAGAGTTCCTATCTATACCTTGTGGCTAATAGCCACTGATGGACTTCTGCTCCATATGCTTATCTAGTTCCCTCTTGAAGCCGTCCATGCTTGTAGCTGCCACCACCTTCAGTGGCAGTGAATTCCATGTGTCAATCACTCTTTGGGTGAAGAAGTACTTCCTTTTATCCGTTCTAACCCGACCACTCAGCAATTTCATGGAGTGCCCACGCGTTCTTGTATTGTGAGAAAGGGAGAAAACTACTTCTTTCTCTACCTGCTCTGTCCCATGCGTAATCTTGTAAACCTCAGTCATGTCACCCCTCAGCCGTCGTTTCTCCAAGCTAAAGGCTTACATCCTCCTAAGTATCTCCCCAACCGTCAGCAGTCTATTTTGATGTCAGATAAGTGAATTGCCAAGTACTTCTTATTGTAGAAAAATAGTCGCTGAAGCCAGCTGGGATAAACCCGGGCTCAGTGCCTCTTTATATCTTTGCCAGGTTTCTAAAGTGGCACAAATAGTCATAGAAGCCTCTTTCGGACTTTTCCTTTTCTTATCACACCCCCACATAATACCTTTTATGGTAATTCCCACCTCTTGTACCTCATTTGGTTTATACCAGCTTATGCACGGAATAATAGAATTGTACAAGAAGGGACCCACAAGGACGTGCGAGGGACATCTCATTTTCTCCTGCGGCACTATTTTCTCTTTCTGTCCCCTTGAAAGCCCCAACAGCCCCTCCCCTTTCCCTGCTTCCCTCAATGCATCCGCCAGCCAGCTGACCTTTATCTGGCCCCATCTTCCCCTCCTTCCCTCTCCCTGGGAAAAATAGGGCCCTGCAGCACAGCACCAACTGCTACTGTCTGAAATCTCAGAATCCAGTCATTTACAAGAGATGCTACTTATGAATTTCCACTGGGACATGATTCACTGTCATCCTACTGTTAATAAACTATTACTTCCCTATATGAAAGAATGACGTGACTATAGTTCCCAGAGGCACACAGTGTCCTGTGAGATCATAAACACTATTTCACAGTGCCAAAAGAGCTGGACTAGGAAGTCCAGAATATACTTATAAGATCTACCCAACTAGAGGAACATCCCACAAGTGCTAGTAAACTCTGGATACATACGTGCCACTTAATTAGGCATTAAAGACCAGTTCATCCTAGTGTTCAGAACAGTTTCCTTTAGATCAGAAGATACTAAAAGCCACATAGTATTCTTGTTGTTGTTGTTCAGTCGCACAGTTGAGTCCGACTCTTCGCGACCCCATGGACCAGATCACGCCAGGCCTTCCGGTCTTCCGCCGTCCTCTGAAGTTTGCTCAATTTCATGTTCCTTGCATCGATGACACTGTCTAACCATCTCATCCTTTGCCGTCCCTGTCTTCTTTGACCTTCAATCTTTCCCAGCATCAGGGTCTTCTCCAGTGAGTGGTAGTATTCCTACTGGAACAATTTTAATTTTCCCCCTGTTCTTGTGCTAACGGTTGTGAAAGTATCTCATTACATATGCTAACTCATTCAGTCCTCACATATGTATGCTCATACAGAGGGACTATACATCCTCTGTATTTTAGTGTATTTCTTTTGCAGAATCGTATATTAGAATGGCATCCGGCCCCATCACTCCTTGGCAAATAGAAGGGGAAGTCGTGGAAGTAGTGACAGACTTCACGTTCCTGGGATCCCAGATCACCGCAGACTGTGACAGCAGTCATGAAATTAAAAGACGCCTGCTCCTTGGGAGGAAAGCGATGGCGAACCTAAACAGCATGATAAAAAGTAGAGACATCACCCTGCCAACAAAAGTCCGCATGGTCAAAGCAATGGTATTCCCAGTAGTCATGTATGGCTGCGAGAGTTGGACTATAAGGAAGGCCGAGCGCAGAAGAATAGATTCTTTTGAACTATGGTGCTGGAGAAGACTCTTGAGAGTCCCTTGGACTGCAAGAAGAACAAATCAGTCAATCCTCAAAGAAATCAACCCTGACTGTTCCCTGGAAGGCCAGATAATGAAACTGAAGCTCAAATACTTTGGCCACCAAATGAGAAGGGAGCACTCAGTGGAGAAGACCCTGATGCTGGGAAAGATTGAAGGTCAAAGAAGATGGGGACGGCAAAGGATGAGATGGTTAGACAGTGTCATCGATGCAACGAACATGAAGTTGAGCAAACTTCAGAGGATGGCGGAAGACCGGAGGGCCTGGAGGGAGCTGGTCCATGGGGTCGCAAAGAGTCGGACTCGACTGTGCGACTGAACAACAACAAATATTAGAATACTGAATGTAATACAAGGAACATTGGACTGTTCAGCTGAGATACATTGCTCCTACCTCAAAAAAGAAAGTAAAAATGCTGTTAAGTGATCTCCATGTTCTGGGAATGAATGGAGAGTCTCAGATTTATTTTGACATATTTATTGCTTTACAACTGTTGACCTTAGAACCTTAGCTTGTTATTTGATTCTGTTATTGCATCGTTGTCATGTCACATGCTAATTTGCTGTCCAGCCCGTCTGTAAGTTTGAACCTTGCCTCCCATTCCATTGCATTTGAAAAAGTGTGCTCGCACACGAAAGCCCATACCTTGAATAAACCTTTGTTGGTCTTCAAGGTGCCACTGGACTCTAAATTTCTTCGTCATAGACTATGTCAGGGGTGTCGAACTCATTTGTTATGAGGGCCAGATCTGACATAAATGAGACCTTGTTGGGCCGGGCCATGTGTGTCATAAAATGGAATGCCAGGTAGTGGAGATATATAAACTTTATAAAGGACACAAACACAAAGGTGTTTTTTTTTAACTTAAAATAAAAACATGCTTAAAACATTAGCTCTGTAAGCTGCAAACCTACTTTTGATTTATTGACATTCACCACAGAAATCTGTGCAGTCAGAGTTCTGAGTCTGGGACCCAGGTTAAAACATGAAATGGCTGAGTGATTAAGAGAGTCTGGCGAAGCAAGCTGTGATGCAAGCAGCAGCAGAACTGGAAGCAGGAGATGGCCAGTTCCAGTGCAGGCCTGATGGAAGCCCTCCAGGGACCTGATCCGGCCCCTGGGCCGCATGTTTGACACCCCTGGACTATGTAATCCAGAATTCTCCTGTATTATGCCTCCCAGTGGACAATCTGTGTTAATATGCTTTCTTGCTTCTCTTTTTATTTCACACATATTCTGAAGGAATGCCCCTCGGATCACGATCTTCCTCAAATCCCAAATTGTGGCCCAAACAGTGTGAGAACTGATTGTATAGAACTGGTTACGGTTATAAATAACAAGCTTCAATGGTGTATTGCTGCATAATGGAAACCTGTTAATTCACCATTGAAAAAATATAGGAGAACTGGGAATGTAGCGTTGTTTTTTAAAATTGAGTTATTATAAGAGAAGGGAAGGAAAATTAAATTAACAGCTTTGTTAAGAATCGGGTATTATTTATTGAATGCGGAATATAAAAATTTTGGACGCTGTACAACCACATGTTCTATTTTCTTTACTATGGATAAAAATTTATATATAAAGAAGAAAAGGCCTGTTGGCTTGGATAAAGATGGACCTCGTCTAGCCCAGCGTCTGGTTTCCGACAGAGGACTGTCAAAATAATGGCTTCCTTCATAGAACCCATATCTTATTTTTTATTTATATTTATTTATTTATTTAGGGTTTTTTACTCCGCCCTCCCCAAACCAGCTCAGGGTGGATCACAACAAATCGAGTCAACGACTCATTACCATAAAATCACATTAAATAGCAAACGTCAGAGGACGGCAGAAGACAGGAAGGCCTGGCATGATCTGGTCCATGGGGTCGCGAAGAGTCGGACTCGACTGTGCGACTGAACAACAACAACAAATCATAAAAAAACAATAAACAATAACATTGGTAGCAGCAATTCACTTGCGGAACTCATCACCACAGGATATAGTGATAGCCACTATTTAGAAGGGGTGTTTTTTTAAAGGGGATTAGGCATATTCATGAAGAAAGACAGGTTCATTATTGGCTATTAACCAAGATGGCTATGTGTTTGGAGACAGTGTAGCTCTGAACGAAAATTGCTGGAGGAAGGCTTTGGCTTCTGTGTCCCTCCTCGTAGACCTTGTGGGGCCATCTGGTTGGCCCCCTGTGGGGAATAGGATGTTGAACCAATAGGAGGGGGTGAAGACAAAAGCCTTTCCCCCAACATCCATACTCAGAGGTAGACTGCTGCTGAACATGGAGGTTCCGATCCATTGCAACTAACAGCCGTTCCATTCAGCTGTAACTAACAGCATCACGTGACCCGTATCGCTAAATGGCAGTCCCCAAAGTCAAAGAAAGCCCACGCAGACACGGAAAATCCCAAAGGCAACCAAGGTTAACAGCTGAGTAAGAATGGCTTAGGGGGTGAGCAGATTTTTCCAAAGCCAGGTCCCTCCCCCAAACACACGCCTTTGAGTAAACCTCAGTGTGGGCTGCCAGGCGGGCAAGTCAAAGTGATCTGTGAGCTATTGACGCTCTTGGGCTCTTTTGCAAGGCCGGAAACAAGAACTCTCCCACGAGCAAGGCTAGGACTTACGGGCAAGGATGCAGGTTCTGGATCAGCATGACTGCCAGCCCATTCGCCACTTTGTCTGTGAAACTCATGGCCCCATAAACGAATGCGCCGCTGTGCTGTCAAAGGAGGAACAAGGATGTCATTTGGCTTCTGAGCAGCGCCGGGCACAAACCAAGGCTTCCCGGCCACAGCCGCACGGTTCCCAAGTTTTCCTGGCCAGGGGTTCCCATTCATCGGCATAGCCCAGGGGTGACCGATCGCACCAGACACATCCCCCCCATTCCTCCCCCCCACCATCAGATTGCTTCTTAAAACATCACCAGACACTGACAGAGGAAGAGGAAGAGTGAGAAGAGAAGGAAGAGAGAAGGAGGAGGAAGAAGAAGAGGAGGAGAAGGAGGAAGAAGAAGAGGAGGAGGAGGAGATTGGATTTATACCCCGCCCCTCACTACCCAAAGGAGTCTCAGAGCGGCTTACAAACTCCTTTTCCTTCCCCACCCCACAACAGACACCCTGGGAGCAGTGTTCCCGCTAAGCTGAGTTAGTGTGAGCTAGCTCACAGTTTTTTAGCCTCCGGCTCACACATTTTTGTCTTAGCTCACAACTTTAATGCCAGTAGCTCACAAAGTAGAACTTTTGCTCATAGGACTCCACAGCTTAGAGGGAGCATTGCCTGTGAGGTAGGCGGGGCTGAGAGAGCTCTGATAGAAACTGCTCTTTTTCAAGAACACCTCTGACAGAACTATGGCTTGCCCAGTCATCCAGCAGCTGCATGTGGAGGAGTGGGGAATCAAACCCAGTTCTCCCAGATTAGAGTCCACACACTTAACCACTACACCAAACTGGAGTTGGAGGAAGAGGAAGAAGAGATTTATACCCTGGCCTTCACTCAAAAGTCTCTGAGTGGCTTACAATCTCCTTCCTCTCCCCACAACAGACACCCTGGGAGGTAGGTGGGGCTGAGAGAGCTCTGAGACAACTGCTCTTGAGAGAACAGCTCTCAGAGAACTTTGACTGACCCAAGGTCATACCAGCAGCTGCATGTGGAGGAGGGGTGGGGAATCAAACCTGGTTCTCTAGATTAGAGTCCGCCGCTCTTAACCACTACCCCAAACTGGCTAGAAACTTGATTTTTAAAAGGTTTGTTTAAAAAGAAAAACTCCAGGAGTTTCAGACAGCTGACCACTCCATCTGGATTGCGATTCTGTGGGTGGTGTGATGTTGGGATGCCAGCCTCCAGATGGGATCTGGGAATCCCCTGGAATTATAGCTCATCTCCAGACGACGGAAATCAGTTCCCTTGGGGGATATTGATGTTTTAGAAGGTGCACTCTACGGCAATGAACCCCACTGAGGTCGCAGGCTCCACCCCCCAATTTTCTGGAGTTTCCCATCCAGGATCTGGTAACCCTATCTCCCATCCCCTGCTGGTGACCAGGGGGGACCTGGCAAAACCCTAATGACAACACCCTTCCCCACCTGCCCACATGGACACAGCACCTACCGTATTGGTGCCAATGAGGTCTGCAGTCATGGAAAGGGACGTCACGAGGATGGTGGCTGAGCCGGCCCCAAGTAAGACGGCTGCCCCGTAAACCTCCACACCCATATTTTCCGCTAGGGCCACCCAGGAAGCAAAGGCCAGGATGATCATCAAACCCAGGAAGTAGGTCAGCTGGACAAGGAAGAGCAGGAAGCGCATTATAGGACTGAGATGCAGGCTGGATTAATCAGCGGACTAAAAAACTAAAGCAGGGGTCCTCAACGTGGTGCACACGGGCGCCAAGGCACCACCGACACCTTTCCCAGTGCCCGCCAAGTGTTTTTAGTTAGGAAGCCAGGCCAAGCGGAGCTTTTGCTCAGCAAGGCTTCCAATTGACCACTGGAGATTCGATGGGCCGTGCAGGTTTTTACAAACATTTTGGTAGCAGCTGCCACCACAACAACACAAGGGTCTTCACTAGGGCTGCCAAGTCATTCTGACTCACCGGCAGGGGAGCGCTGCTTCGGTCAGGGAGCTGCCAAGGGACGCGTGCTGCCAGAACGTCACAGGAAGTGACGCACGACGTAGAGCACGTTGGGGGCGTGGCCCCAATCGTTGGAGGGAAAACCATAGTGCTCTACATGGTTGCGTCACTTCCTGTGACGTACCCGGTTCCTTTCTACCTCCATCCCGTGGTCTCTCTCTTCTGTTTGCAACATCCAGGTGTGGCCTGGAAATCTCCCAGAATTCCAACTGATCTCCCCTGGAAAAAATGGGCTGCTTTGGAGGATGGCCTCTGGGGCACCATACCCAGGGGTCATTTCCTGCAGGAGTGCACAGGAGCGGAGCTCCGGCAATAAAGAGCCCAGGGGGCGGGCACATGCAACAAGCCCCACCCTCTGCTCCCAGCAGCCCTCAGTCTGAGCACGAAGCAGCCAGGTAAGTTGCAGAACTCCCCCCGGCCCAAAACAGTCCAGGGGCACCTTTGAGACCAAGTTTTATTCAGGTGCAAACTCTCCCTCCTCTGTGATGACAGATCTGCAGTTCCCCCCCCCCAATAGCTAGCAATCCAAAACAGTCCAGTGGAGCCTGAGCAGTGGGTGTTGCCTTCTGTCACACTTCCGGTGATGTCAGGGGGTGTGGCATATGCAAATGAGTCGTGCTAATGAGCTATGCTAATGAGCTCCTGCACCTCTTTTTCTACAAAATGACCCCTGACTATACCCCACAGAGGTCCCCCCCTCCTCCACAAACCCTGCCCTCCTCCAGGCCCCACCCCCCAAATCTCCAGGAATTTCCCAGCTCAGAGCCGGCAACCCTCCTGGGTCCAGGTATCAAAACACCTGACACAGACAGTGGGAATCGAGCATCCTGGGACCAACCAGTCAAACGGTGTCCATGTTTCTTATGTGAGGTTAATTCCCACCGAATCCCAAACCCTTCCGATCTACTCACATTCCTGCCGATCCGCTTGTTCACAGTTTTCATCAGGAGGGAGGAGAGAAAGCCGCTGATGTACATCACCAAAGGAATGGTGGCGATGAATTTCTGGGAGAAGAGAACGGATTGGATTTACACCCCTTTTTCTAGGTGAGGGGGAAGAGTAGCAGCGAGCTTTCGGGATATGACCCGAACATTTTTTAAAAAAATGAAAATTAGGCATCTGGGCGCGGAGGGGGAGAAGAAGAAGAAGAAGAAGAAGAAGAAGAAGAAGAAGAAGAAGAAGAAGAAGAAGAAGAAGAAGAAGAAGAAGAAGAA